AGGAACAAAAAATGTTTAGACACATGATTTAGAGGCTGGTTTGATTATATCCTTGGGCTCAAATGCATTACTAAACTCTCTGACAACAGAACATGGAGTACTAGTGATCCATATATTGGCAGTAGAATTAGCCAAGTGATATCTGTGGACAGTTATGATAAAATTCTTAATGAATTAAGTATTTAGGGGAAACAAGGGATTGCTTTGGTTCATTATTAATGAAGTGATGTTGATCTCAAGGACTGTAGCACTGAATGAATTCTCAGGGCACAGGTGCACTCACAGAATGAAAATCAAAAACTAGTCTTCACACATTCGTTTTAAGTGACAAATTACTAGAGCATTTCTGTTAAACCCCAAAATAACTTATTGTTCTTATAGACACAGGAAAAATAGGAAATTTGACTATATTGGTTGTGGAATTAAAATATAAATTGAATTCACAGTTGTTCTAAGTTCTTCATGTAAGTTGGGGCATTGCTTGGGTAGGAAGGGGACTTGAATTTAGAATATCTGTTGAAATTTAGGGTATCTTTTTGGGTTCAGCAGACAATGAGAATCTTAAATCTGCCCCCTTACTCTGAAATTCTCTTGCCAGAAGAAACCTGCCCTTGAAGGAGAATATATGTTCCTTGTTTGATTACCCTATGATAACCTCATTTGAAGTAGTTGCCTTATAATTCCTGAAGATTTACCTGAGCATCTCTTGTTGCCACAAGTTTTGAAAATCAGATATCATCATGTCAAAAAGGGGACAGTGAATAGTTTTATCTAAGAGAAAATGGGTTACAAGCCAAAAGAAGTACAAGATTTGCTGATTACATTGGCATAAACCTGCAATAAATGTGTGAGAACACAAATGAGAGAGAAGACAAACCCCATGAAAATTTCAGAAGGCACCACTTCATTAAAGTTTCTGGGATCCAATCTAGAATATGATGAAATATCTCCTTTGAAGAGAAAAAGAATTTGATGCATCCTATACCACCTACAATGGAAAGAAGTGGCACAATACTTGATGGGCCTGTTTGGGGATTGGGAAAACAGCACCTATCAGTTCTCAGTGTGCTACTTCAACTTGCTTACCAAATACAGGTCAGACCACCCATTTTGAGTGGACCAGAAGTTCTCCAGCAAATACAAACTGATGTGTATGCTCTCCTTCCCACGAGGCTTTATGACTCACCAATAATATCCAGCATGCAGACAAGGTACATACAAGTGAAATTGCGGGCCAATTCTATTCAAGAATACAGAAGGCAAAATTATAAACAAAATTTAACAAGCTGAATCCAGCAGTGTGTAAAACATAAGCATAATGAGCTCTATGAAGACAGTGATTTCTGATTGCTTTCATTACAGTACTGTAATCTAACTGTTTTACTGTATTCTAACTTGTTAAGTACTGTCTGGAACATAATGAGCATCCAATATTATTATTTATATGAATGAATGAATGACCCAAATCAAGTGTATTCCAGGAATTCATTGGTCATTTAACAACAGTAAATGGATTTCACCATATTAACCGTTTAAAGAATATACATATAATCAGCTTAATAGACACAGTCATGACATTTGATAAAATCCCTAACCTACTTATTTAATTATTTATTTATTTAAAACTTCTTAGTAAATCAGAAAACAATTTGAAAATAAGAATAACCTACAACAAGAGAAAAGAATAAGGTACTTAGGGATAAATTTAACAAAAATTTATAAGAACTTTAGCGAAAAAAATTTTAATTTATTATTGAAGCTAATTTTTAATAAACTGCCTGAGGAAAGGAAGAAGTAGTTCAAACACAATTTTAAAACTAAATACTTCAGGGCGGTGTTTTTTGTTTATGTGTTTTGTTTTGATTTTCCTCTCCATCTATGTCTACACCTATATGTGTATATCAGGCAGATACGTTGCTCCTCCTTTGTATATCTTCACCTTGGGAGGTCTGGTGGGATTCCCATAAACTTGGACAAATAGAAATGATCCAGTTTAGAAAAAGTGCATTAAAGTCTATTTTTTAAAAAATCCTAGTGCTCTCACCACATCTTCAGAAGCTCCTTCAGGAATATATACTGTGGGGCCAGAAGCTTAGCCCAGTGGTTCCGCCACCTGCCTCGCAAGCACAAGGACCCATGTTTGAGCCTGGTACCAAAAAAAAAAAAAAAAAAAAAAAAA